GACGGTCTGATGAAGGACGAGGACGGAAAGCATCAGCTCCGGATCACGCAGCGTCTGCGTTTGGACCAGCCGAAGCTGGAGGACGTGCAGAAGCGCATCTCGAGTGCCAGTTCTCATGCCATCTTCTTGGGAATGGCCGGATCCACGACATCTGTGAACAACGACGACGTGAACGTGCAGACGCGGCCACTGCGTAACCTCGTGTCGTACCTGAAGCAAAAGGAGGCGGCCGGTGTTATCTCGTTGCTGAACAAAGAGACGGAAGCGACGGGCGTCCTCTACTCCTTCCCACCATGTCCCTTTTCCACGGAACTCCTCAAACGCACCTGCCTCAACCTCCCAGAAGACGCCCTCAAGGAAGATCACCTCGTCATAGTCGTGGTACGTGGCGGCACAGCCTAATTCTATTCATTCTTCATCCTTCCTACACACAAACACATATACTTATTCACTCACACATGTTATCCCTGATTATAAAATTCCAACAGTAACATTGGAGGAGAGCAAAAAAAAACCCTTTCTTTGAAAATAAAAACCAACAATAAACAGATCCACTTAAAACCAATCCATATATAGATTTTTCTCGTTTCAGGAGATTAATGATCAACAATGGTAGTAATGATAGTAATAGTTGATAGTATAGTCAATATAAATACTATATAAATATTTATAGTATAAGTTTACTTTGTATCCTGTAAATAATAACGAAAACCAATCATGCTTTATACTTTTACTTTATATATATATTTGTAATCTATATATACAACATCTTCTCTCGTTGATCAACATTGTGTGATCAAATCATATTTTTCCCCCCAGTTACAATCATAAGAGCTCATGTTGATCGACGACGATGAGAATTATTATTATTCGTAGTTATTTGTGAATTACGAAATTTTATGTTGTTGTTTTGTCTCTTTGAATCAATTTGTGCTCTCGATTCATGTAAAACTAAAGAATTAGCTTATTTTCTATTTACTTAATGTTTTTTTTTTCTTTTTTTTTGTATCTTTAGCCCACTGTTTATATTATATACATATATATATTTACAAATGACTAATATTAAGTTAGAAGTTATTCCCATATTTCGCTAGAGATTATATATTTTATATAAACATATGTGTAAATGCTTGAACGTGAATGTCGAATGAGTGGAACGATTTATAGTTAAGTGTACGAATGTAGAGTGGAATTTCCGGTGGGGAGGACTTCTTTCTGTACAACAAGCGATGTTCGAATGGATATGGGAGATAATAATAATAATATTATCGAAATTAAATTGATTACAAATAAATGACGTTAATTATAATGAAGGTAAACCTTAATTAAAACCAAACAACAACAATCCATCATATGTAAGGCTTTGGAAAATAAACAAAAGAAAGCAAACAGTTGAATATAATTTATTGAATTCCATTGGAGTGCAATCATTCATTTAGTTAGCCTATGTACACAGTTGTAGTGATAATACGATTATGATCAAAATCATCTTCTTACAATATCTTAAGTACAGAATACATACATGTGATAGAAACTACTCTTCGTTCTTAAGATGGGCAAGAAAAATATTGATTTTTACAAGAACACAATAACATCATCATCATCATATATATTATATATATTTTCCATGATCGACTACAATCAAATAAAAAATAAAGAAAACAATTTGCTTAAATGCACGAAACACAAACCAAGAAGACACATTCATCATTTTCCCTCCCTCCCTCCGTCTTTGCATCTTCGAAGACGACGAAGATGATTCACTATCATACGAATTGCACGCCGACGCCGAACTGAATGCCCTCCTGCACCCTATCGTCTTGCTCGAATTTGTGCGGGAAACAGTAGTTGATCTCGACGCGCGCCATCTGTCCCAATCTTATGGCAACGCCGATGCCGGACGAAACGCGCAGATTGTTCTTCAGCTGCTCGACGACATCCTCGGACTTGGTGTCCGCCACGTTGCCGGCGTTCACGAACAGATGCGTGCGGAAGAGCTCACCGAAACCACCTTTTCCGGGCCTGAACGGCAGCGGAGTGTACAGATGGAGACCGCCGCTGAAGTAGCACAGGGAACCGAGAGCATCTCCGTCCGACTGCGGCCCGACGCCGCGCGTCTTGAATCCCCTCAACGAGAGAGGACCGCCCAGGTAGTACATGTCGCACAGGTTGATCTTTTTCTCGTCTCCGATCTCGTGCATGAATCCTCCAGACAAAGTCCCTTGCAACACCTGTGAAAACAAAACGGATTAACAAGTGGAACAACAAATACAAAGCAATTACAAAGTCTTCCATCAGCGAGTAATTGGCCTGCAGGTAAAAGTCGTTCTTCAGGAAGCCGACGTCTCCGCCGACGCCGGCGAATTCGCTCGTGAGCTGCAGCAGACTGCCGCACGACGGGAAAATCGGCTCGTCTCGCAGATCGATGGTGAGGATGTGCCTCAGCGCCGACTTCAGCGTGCTCCCAGACTGCTCGCGTACATCGAAAGACGAATTCCTGCTGATCACGCCCATATCCCTGATGCACGCATCGTATTGGAGGTTGTGTTTCAGCTGCAAACAAAGGAGGGCGTTATCATCCATTTGAACGATTATGATTGGTGGTTACCAAATGGTGCGAATTGAAACCGAAATCCAAGAGTCCGCCCCTCTCCAGCTGCTTATACCCCGAAGAAGGCCACTCCGAAGTGTGCTGATAAACGCCCGCAGTGAACACCGGATTCCTCTTCCCCATGAACGGCTTAATAAAGTTCACGCTGTAGTTGTTACTCCTCCTCGAACCGTAACTGCAAAAAAACGATTCACGCGTGAGTGTAAATTTAGTCAAATACAATGCAATTTCCTCACCTGTACTCGGTTTGCAGCCTTTCGCCGCGACCGAAAACGTTCGGGGCTTTCAAACCGACGACCAGAGATCCCTCATTGTTGTTACCGATCTGCGTGTTGACGCCCCCCACGACCCTCTTCAACTCCTTCACCTGAAACGTCACCTCGAGTCCGTCCTTGGTGGCCTTCGACCCTTTGCTCACGTCAATATGCACGGAGACGTTCCTAAATAGACTCAACGAATTCAATTTCTGTCTGGCCTAAAAAAGAAATGACATCAACCGAAATTACACAACGCAAACAGTCAACGTACAGTGTGCGTTTTGTGGAGCACCTCCTGAAAGGTGTTTGCGGTGAAGATATCTTTCAGAGCATCCTCCACAATGTCGTTCTTCGTCCTTCCCAAACCCTCCACATGAATCTTATCTACCCTGGCCTAGAGAAAACAACAAAAAAAATGTAAACAAACATGAAAACAGATCAACAATGAAATAATCACCGGAACATTGAGTTCGAGCTCTTTGGTCTCCTCGCATTCCTCATAGTTGATGTTCACCTTGGGAATGGTCTTGGTAGCTTGATACTTGGATGATTCGGAGAGATCCTACAAAAAGGAACTAACGTGTTAATCAGAATGTTATATTAATAATACTAGTATTGCATTACCTTGGCGTGCACGATTCCCATGTCTGCTGAATTGAATTTTTTCCCCTAAATATCTCTTACGTTCCAATTGGATATTACCTCTTCTCTTCTTTTGATTTTTTTTGGTGTGTGTGTGTGAGTGTTTTTATTGCGTGTGCACGTACATAAAATTTACATCATTCGCATCAGATCTTTCGGTTGGCGTTTGACCGAAAACTTCAAATTGGCAACGGAAAAAAAAAATTGGCGAATTTTCTACTACATGGGGGGGTTGTCACATCTGCACCCGCACTGACAGCAGATGACTCTGTCTGTTGCGCAATCTTTACTCATGCGCCGCTAACTTCACATCAATCCAATTACTCTATTTTCGGATCCATCGGATTGATTCCAGCACAATTACTAATATTTAATTATAATCTCACTCGACGCACCTATTTTAATAGAAAGTTTTTTTAAAAAAAAAACTTACATAATCACTTTAAATATAAAAAAAACACAATTTCTAATCAATAATTTATTAATATTCTAATTTTAATCGATTTGTTCCTTAACTACGAACTATTCCAGTCTATAAAAATTTACTTTTCTTCTTCTTATTTAACTTTAATCGAACTTAACGCGTAATATGTGGCAACGTCGATGCGTTCAACTTTTTAAACATTTGAAAATGTTCTCAACTTTCCCATTGGTCCGAAGAGACGCATCCGCCATTATATAGAGACGCGACTGTTCAAAAAAAGACGCTCCTGAAAATCTCAAGTTTTCCAATCAATTTCTTCAGACAGAATCCTCATGGTAAGTAAAACCAACATGTACATTTCGTATAATTCATATTTAATTGCAAAACTATCATCGGAAATATACGCAATGATAATTTTGCAATTATTCCTATATTATTTTGACATTTGTTGGGAATCCATTTAAAACAAACAAAAGCCTTCTTGATTATCAACTTTAGTGCTTTGACTTCAATTAGTATAGGTTCACGAAACTAATCTAATTTGTTTGTCAAGTATGCTTGTATTTGTTTTGCTGGATGAACAAATCCCGTTCAGGAATTGAAAATGATTTCAAATTGTTTCTGTCAAGTGTTTATTTTATTAGTAAAAATATCCATTATGCTAATATCACAGGTGGGGAATATCTTGTCGCAGTTTCCTGCGGCCTTCCCCAACTTCTCGGCGACGATGACTCTGTTCGCCAAAGTGTTGCTGTCGCTGGTGTTGTGGCCGCCTCCGCCTCCGCTCAAGTCAATAGATGGACTGGAAGAGGAAATAACAATAATAATAATAATACAAGTTGAAAACGAAGAAAATGTAGACTTACGTAAGTATGTAGTGAGTAATTTGCTCCAAGAGGTTGTCTCGATGGTCCAGCTGCATCGGAATCTCGGAGAGCTCGCAGATGGCACGCAGCAGGCAGGCCTCTCCGTCGAAACCGAAACTGCAAAGCACGACGATCACACACACTTACACCAAGTCTCTTCTTAAATTACAGATTACCTATCCAGTCCGCTGATGGCGTATTCGTAGAAGGAGACTCTGTCCAAGTCGAAGCCGGAGATCTCGCCTTGCCTCGCCAGCCACGGTTCGAAGTTGCTGATGTTGTGCGGCAGGGCGTAGTTGTGCTGAAACGTCCAGCTGATTGCAATGGATCTGGTCGGAAGAATCGCAGGCACCGAGATTCCGTATGACAACTTCAAACATCGCTCAGATCAGATCACAGGAAATATGCAAGTGGTGTGTATACTTTGGACGTACCTGGACGATCGTGTTCGTGGGAAAGAGCAGGTACCTTTTCTCGATGGAATGTTCGGATTGTACCATCATCATCATTAGTAGGAACACCAGATGCTTCATCGTGATCATCATGTTGCATGCGTGTGGCCTTTGCTCCATTCTTCTCCGCTTAATTTATAAAAGAGCTCGCAGAACAGTTATAGCCCAACGTTAATTGCTCCGACAAATAAGTTTGTTTTAAGAGTTACGCGGGACAAAGAAACGTTATACAATGCGCGCCGAATGCCACACACCGCGTAATTCGGTTCGACTATACAAAATTACACACACTATTACACAATCATTTTTGTTTTTTCGACACAAATTACAATTAAATCAACTATTTTGTAAAGTAATTCCAAAATTAATTAACAACACCGAAGCTCAATCACTGCCGTGTTTCTCGATTAATTAATTTTAGTCAAATAAATCTTACCTTCTTCGTTTTTTGGAACTTACCACCGACGTCTTCGACTTTGCAGTTTTCCGAACATTCCGTTCCCCCAAAAACTCATCCTCCCTCCTCCATCCATCATTTTCATTTATTTTTTCACAGTCATTTCTTTTTTCCTGCGCTTAATTTTTTTTTTATATCAATTATCGTTATTTTTTTTGGTGCCCCTCGTGTCTTCAATCATTTTTTTTTTGTGTATGTTTTTCTTAAAATTTGTTTATTCTTTTATTTAGATCATCTTTTCTTTTTAGCTCTTTTTTTCTTTCAGTTTGCTCTTTGTTTTTTCAAGTCTTCGTAAACTGTTCTTTTTTTTCCTCTTTTCATTTTTTTTTTGTTTTTTTTTTTTGGTGGGACACTCAATATTCAATTGTTTTTTTTTTCGAAACTTTCATAAATCTTATAATTATCGTTTTGTTTTCTTTTATAAAACAAAAAGAGAGAAAAAAATCAAAAAAATCCATTACATAAGTTCAACAAAGAAAGAAAATAATAATAATAATAATGCATGAAGAGATAGAGAGAGATAAAAGAAAATAAAGATTAGTAATTATAATAAGATTTGAAAAGGTGGGTGTACTCGAGGATATTCGCAGGCGGTCCCAAAGAAAAAAAAATCATCACAAACAGTTTCATATGGCAATTTAAAGTCATAACTTTTCATATTATATATATATAAATTAATTAATTTTGGAGTGGGCGTGGCCTGCGCATATCTCCAGTTCACATAAACTGTTTCCTATTGGCGGATGGTCTCAGGAATGGGGCGTGGGGTGGGCGGAGCGACGACTCCGATAACTTTGGAAATATGTACAGTCTACTACAACACAACAAGATGTTTGTCAAGTGGATGAGGATCGGAAAAACACGTACAAAGTGAAATAATAAATGAAATGAAAATTCTTCATACTCTTTGAGATATGAAAATAAGTGCAAGAGGGGATGTGGTCGCGCGCGTAGAGTAATGATGATGATAGTTCATCGTAAGTTCCATCCTCTTCTTTTTGACGTGGCCTCCTATCTTCTTGATCGTCGAGAGCAGAACGATGATATCGTCCTTGTCCGGCGGCGGTCACTACTACTATCGTCTCCATGAGCGATCCTCGTTCTCCTCCTCCTCTTCCTCGTCGTCCTGCAGGAGCACTTCTTCCGGCAATACGGTTCCAATATCTTCATCTCCGTCCAAGAGCGCCGAATCGATAAGGTGTTGTTCCTCGGACTCGTTGATCAGCACTGTGCGACTGGAGCTTCTCGACAGCGTGTTCAGCTGCGCGTTGTTGCACCAGGTTACAGATAGAGTACGATCCTGGAAATAACAATAACAATCATCATCAATTACTGTTATCCAATACTGAATTACCAAATGGAAAGTCCATACAGTGTATGGACTTTCCATTTACATAAATGTTTGTAAAATCCATTTTAAGTATGAAGTGAACAGGTTTAAGTTGTATTTACCTGAAAATGTTTTCCTTTGACGACGGCGAACTCTGCCTCCTTGCGCGTCTTGTAATTGAGCACGACGCTCGGCGTGGAAGCATCGCTCACGTATTCGACGATCTCTCCGAACTGTCCGAAGTGCGTGAGCACGCTCTCCTGTTCGTCACTCTCGTAACCGGAGACGAGTATCCTCGTGGGTCTGTGATCTACGGCGTGAGTCTGCTGGGACGTCGAACTGCTGCCGGTCGTCTTGCTGGGACTCTTCAGCTTCATGCGATCCTTGAGCAGATTGTTCTTGGTGAGCAAGTGACGTCCGATTGGATTGAAGCGAGCCCGACCGCGAGTCCAGCTACCACGTATCGCCGGCGCAGCTACCGACGACGAAAGAAGCGTCGGTATCTTCGCCTTCATATCGTGTATCTTCTTCTGTAACTCCGTTACGTCGACACCCTCCGCCTGCTTGCTGATCAAATCCAATTCGGCATCCAACACTTCCTTCTGCACTTCCTCCTTCGTTTTGCGGAGCATAGCTGTAGACGTCGCCGACGGCGATGTCGGTGTACCACCAACGCCCGCGGCAGTCTTAAAGCAGATGGAGATATCTTTTCGTATTACCTCGATGGAATCCTGCGACTTCTTTATTGTTTGCATAAGCAAATCTCTTTGCGAGCCTTGCGAACCTAAAAATAATAGCAAACAACATTTACATTGAGAAACTGTATTCATTTAATGATGCAACGATAGATCATGAGAAAATTCCGGCAAAAAAATAATAGCACAACAACATTTCCAATTCCAGTAAGAGAGGAGGAGGAGGGATAAAAAGTTATTTTGCTGTAGCTTGGATAACCTTGGTCAAAGGTTTTTCGGTTCATTCATCGGCGAGATGTTGTTCGGTGCGGTGCGCTTGATGCTTGCAGCAGCGAGTCTCGTGTTGTTGTGCGACGCAGATAAAGAATGCCTAAAGACATTCATACACACGGAAGCGGTGGTGACCTATGCACAAGATCAGAAACGCATCCTACTGAATCAATGCGCCGGATCCGAGTTGCAGAACGCCATCGAAATCGAGGTCAAAGGGAAAGAGGTGCCTTCGGTGAAGACTGGAGCATTCCGCGACATCGACACGCTGAAGAAGGTCGCGATGGTGGACTGCAAGATATTCCACATCGATCGCAACATCCTGCTGAATCTCCCCAACATCAAGACGCTCCTACTCAAGCGAAACAATTTCGAGATTGTGCCTGAACTTGCGTTCGCCAATTTAACGAGCATCCAGCACATCGATTTGTCAGGTAAATGATATAGAAATAAATAAAACCGAGAGAGGATGGCGTTGATTAGTAATGAGTTTATTACAGAGAATCATCTGAAAAACGTACAACACGACGCCTTCCGGGACAGCAATAATCTGGTCACCGTCAACCTCAACAGAAACAAGCTCACACACTACTACCCCAGCTGGTTCAAACCTTCGAGCGAAACCATAGAGACGATCGATCTGAGTCACAACAAGTTCAAGTATTTCGCGCGGTCGTCGTTCAAGGGACTCAATAAACTGACGACACTCCTCCTAAATAACAACCAGCTGAGATCGTTGCATCCGCAATCGTTCGAGGAGGTGACAAGCCTACAGACGCTCGACCTGAGTCACAACTACATCGCTGAGCTGTACAGACAGATGACGGCGTCGTTCGCAAAGAGCAAGATCGACCTGAGGCTGAACAACAACCATCTGAATTATCTACTCGAAGAGACGATGTCGCACGTGCAATTCGGCAAGGTTTCCGTACACGCGAATCCGTGGAAGTGCGCTTGCTACAATAAGATACTGACGTGGGCGGAAAAGTACAAGAACGACGTGCAATTCGCCGACAACAGTTGCGGTGATCGGATGCCCGTCTGCATAGAGCAGGAGCGCTTCCCGAAGAAGTGCACGCAGCAAAAGGACCCGAACATTACGCAGCAGTACTATTACAGTTACGAAAAGATCGCGTGCAATAAATAAAAACACTTACATTTTTCAAGTTTTTCGATGAGAAGTTTTTGCTGCGCCAACTGTTTTTCCAGAAGCTCTTGCTTTCGCCGCCTCAGGTTGGCCGTCAGCTTCACGGCTTCCTTCAGTTTCTGCTCCTGATTCTTCTTCATCTTCTCTTTGGCCGCCAACAACTCTTGACCTTTCTTTATGGCCAGAGAAGCTTGTGCTATTTATATTTAATCAAATAAATAATTAAATCAAAGGAAATAAATATAATGATATAGTAATTACCTTTCATCTCTTCCTTTTTGGCTTCCAGCTCCTTGATCTTCTCGGGATCGTCTTCGACGGCATCGGCGCTGCCGCCCTTGATGTCTTGGTTGGCCTTCGGTTGCACCAAATTAAGCACTTTGTTGGCGTTCGGTGCAACGTTGCCGATCGAATGATGAAGCATGCTGCCACCAGGCCCGGATTGACCGCCGAGCCTTTCCTTGATCGGTCTGGGAGGAACGTTCTCCTGCCGGCTGCTGTCTGCGTTGCCGGTGTGCCAGAACACCTTGATGAAGCGATTGTTGAGGACGGCCTCGGTGCTGCGGTAGGCGACGTTCGCCTCCGCGTGACTAGAAAACGTAACGATCGCCGCCTCAGGATCACCGTCGTAGCTGACCTGGATGTTGACGATCTTGCCGAAACGATGGAAATGGTTGTTCAGGTGAGTGATGTTGTTCAAACCGGTCGGCACTTTCTTCAACTCCAACGAGCAGTTGGAGGGATTCTTCTGGCGCGGACCCAAGCGATTGTAATCGAACGGTTTCTTCTTAAAACCACCGGGTTGTTGCTGATCCTGAATGTAAGTGTTGCCGCTGTTCTGTGGCGGCGGACCGTTGTTCTGCTGCTGCTGTTGCTGGTAGCCACCGCCACCGCCGCCGTAGTTGTCCTGCTGGTTGCCGCTATCAAGGACAGGGACTGAGATCAATTCGCGCTGCTGGATATTGGGCAGTGGAGGACCGTTCTGCGGGTTGAAACCCATCGGGGGAACCCTCGGTGGACCGGAGTTCATTCCACCGCCGCGATGACCTCCGCGGAAATTGGGTGGCCGATGATGCCACATTTGCGGCGCCTGCGGATTGTACTCTGCAGGGAGATTGGGCCTCATGTGCATTATGGGATTGGGACCGGGAATGACGATGGACGGTGGCGGCACGAGCATGTTGTCTCCGGTGCCGTTCGGGGCGTACAGAACGCGGCTGAGCGTCGAATCCTCCAGCACGACGGGATCAACACCGTGATCGTAGGGGCACATCTCGCCACGCATGCAGAAACCTTTTTCGTCGTAATCTCTGCATCGACGGCTTCCATCGACGGACGGAAGCGGCACGCCGGGCGGTCTGTTCGCGGGCGGCGGAGGTTGCACCACCACCGCCGACTGCACCGATTGCGTAAGTCTCAGGTCCATGTCGACTGCGTGATTGCTGTCCTGGGTGGGCGTTCCTGCACCGGATTGCGCCGTCTCGCGATCCTTCATCTCTTTGCGGTCGCGTCTCTCCAGAGAACGCGACCTGCTTCGACTGGTCGACCGCAACGGAGGTGATCTGTTCCTGTATCTACCCCTATGCGGAAGAGCACTATAAATAACATTATTTACATAATCGATAACGAAACCAAGGAGAGCAAATACAAAAAAACCAAAAGAAAATAATAACAATAAAATGCTTACCTATAATTGTGCCTGGGGCTGCGGGAACGCGATCTCGGTCTGCCACCAGGAGACACAGACCTGCGACGATCGTATCGCCTCGGCGGGGATTTGTTCCTCCACGATCTGACGCGCTCACGTTTATCCCTGTCCAATCTATCCCTCTCCCTCGATTTATCTCTCGACCTCGACCTTCTCGTCCTATCCCAAGACCTAGATCGACTCCTATTCCTTGACAACGATCTGTGTCTCGACCTCCTCCTCAACGGTTTCTCCTCCTACAGCAATAAACATCATCATTACACAAATATAACACAAAGTTACCGTTGCCAAACAATGTTATCAAGAAACACAATGTGTTACCTCTTTTTTAACATCCTTCTTCTCGAGTTCCTTGGCATCTTTGATGATGCCCTTTCCATTGAGGGTCTCTGTTAGATTTGCAGCGATTTCACTGACCGGTATGATAGGCAAAGCTTTCGCCACCACCTTTGCGGGTGGCGTGACTGTGGCCACCTCAGTCAGCTTCAGGTTCATATTTGGATTCGGTGGATTCGCGTTCGGTATCACTGAATTGATGTAATCCTGTGTCTCCAATGTCTTGAACAGCTGTGTCACAAATGGTTCGGTTTCCTTTTGAAGGAACACCTCCAGCTGATTGACCATGCTCTGTCTGAGCACCTCCGGTGATTTGTCCTTCTTCACCAGTGCTATCACATACTTGGCGAGCGCTGAAGGATCGGCCTCGCAGCTGCACAGAAAAGATAACGAGATTAAATATAGTGAAAAATAATATTAATTACATATACATATATATACATGTATGTGTGTGTGTATATATGAAAGGTGAAAGTAGCTTCGCATCGTATATATATAGATATACTTACATAGGTTTCAGGACGGCTGTGAGCCAAGTCTTGAACGCGTCCGGATCTTCGATGATCATCGTCACTTCTCAAATATCAGTCACTATATCACAACAACAACAACAACAACGAGAAAACAAACTTGCTTTGAACAATAGTAGTAGCAGCAGTCTGTCTTTTTTTCACTGTAAATATCGCGCACCACCTTCCTCTGCCATGCACACAACTTTTTACAATGAACTGAAGTCTGCAGGAGTTCGCACAGTAGGAGAATTGGAATGATCGCTGGGAGATGGGAAGAAAAACAAAAGTTACTAAAAATAAATACAATAATACCAACTTGATGATACGCAACACCGAAAATAGAAAGCGAACGCTTCAAACAGCTGATTCACAACACATAACTGCATATGTATGTATCTATGAATTGGAATAGAAGAAAAAGCTTTGCGGGGTTTACGAAACCCATCTAAAAATAACAAAACTGAAACACATTTGGAGGCCCTCAGCGGAGGTCGAGACGACCCTTCGTTAAAACAATAACAAGGCAGCTTTGACTCAAATCAATTTAATCAATTGTTCATAAACTTATTATTCTAATAATCTTAGTCCTCCCAGTTTCCCGTATGATGGAAATTGTCTGGAATGTCGAGCTGCACAGGGTTCCTTGTGACCTTCGTGTACAGCCACGGTTCGATCAGCTTCTTCTTGTCGCATTGCAGCACGTGCTCCTTGTAATCTTTCTCATCCATGAACCTGTGCAGGTTATAGAATGGACAGATGAAGTGATTCGGATATTTCCTCTCGCACTTGATGATGTGAGGCTGCAGCCTGTCCTGGCTGAAGATGTGACACTTGTTGAATGGGCATGTCACCAACTTCATGGGGGCTTTGTAAGGCCTTTCAAATCAAAACGAATCAATTCACATCAGCAAATTCATTCCAAACAATACTTACATTTTTGCTTAGCACCAACAAAAGAATTGCACTGCTTTGTGCATTTTTTTTTTGTTTAATTCACAGCTGACTTTGCAAAATACACTTTCCGATAGTCGATGTATCCGAATGATAGGAATTTAACTGTAAACGCAATAAGTTTAATTTGTAAGTTCAACTTGTTTTGTAACGATTTCAGGATTATTCGAAAGTTAACAATATTTGAATTTTATGTATATTGGGTTGCCTACAACGATCCACCATTAATTTACAGTCATTCATGGGAAACGCCGTGAGGTGTCACTGTTTGTCGGGAAATGATCAATATTATTGTTAATTATATTACAAAAGTCGAAAAGTGTGTTATTAAACAATATTTAAATTTTTGCTTAGCACCAACAAGAGAATTGCACTGCTTTGTGCATTATTATTTTTTTAATTCACAGCTGACTTTGCAAAATGCACTTTCCGAAAGTCGATGTATCCGAATGATAGGAATTTAACTGTAAACGCAATAGGTTTAATTTGTAAGTTCAACTTGTATTGTAAAGATTTCAGGATTATTCGAAAGCAAACAATATTTGAATTTTCTGTATATTGGGTTGCCTATAACGATCCACCATTAATTTACAGTCATTCATGTGAAACGCCGTGAGATGTCACTGTTTGTCGGGAAATGATTATTGTTAATTATATTAAAAAGTCGAAAAGTCTGTTATTAATTGTTTTTTTTATTGTTACAGATTCTTTGCGACAACGATGAAGATTTTTCTGAGTGAGTTTCATTAAATTAATAATCTACCCTTAATCCGGCGCTGTGCACATTACGTAACATCCGCAAAAAAAAAAATGATCGTTTGGTTGCCTATCACATTATTCTAAGTTATGTAAACTTTTTTTTAAACGTTTCACACTTACACTAACATAATTGAAATATGATTAAATTAATCATATTTCAATATTAATTCAAATATTGTTATTATAATACGACGTTGCATGACTAAAACAAAATATTTTGTATGATATATTAACAGAAGAATAACAACGGTGAAATGATCAATGTGGCTCTAAAAATAGAGTGTGTATGAAATGAACGAAAAGCGAGCTGTGATTGATGGGTGTGAGAGAGAGAGAGAGAGAGATAGAAAGAGGATTGCGTGAATCGCTGAAAAATTCAGCGTCGTTTCGCAGTGTCTCTGAATATTTGAACGGACATGTATGAAGCCAATTTGGAAGTAAATCCGGATGGATGAGAGAGAGAGAGAGAGAGAAAGAGGATCGATTTCAGTCGTGATTTGAACGAGAGAAACATACCAACAAAATAGATAAAAACAATCCCAAGAAAACAAAAAAAAAACAAAGAAGAATCAGTCGATGCAAGACAGTAAAACATCGTAATCGCATTACAGATCGACCAACCGACTGATCCCCCCCCCTTTCGCATTACTTGGGTTTTACCGAAGATGGGTGGCGTTGGGGGAGATAGAAAGAGAGAGAAAGAGAGAGAGGACGTTTTAGGGGTGGTGGGGGGTGTTTCAATTAGAAGCTTGTATTCGGTGGTAATGCAGATGAGCAATCGGACGTTATTAATCCTCGGACAAGTCGATGCACGTCAATCGGATTTAAGTTTTAGTTCGATTGGAATCGCGTGCGACTTTCGAACCCTTAATTAATGAGTCGATTCAAGAATTCAATTAACAAGAATTCGAACTTAACTTTTGGTTTTCAATAAAAAAAAAAGTTTTAATGGAATTGTTAAAGATTCGAAGAAGGCAATTTCGTATTTATGCGAAGAAATAATGAAAATTGGGGAAAAAAAAAAGAGCCAAATATTGATTTGATTCTTTCAAAAAAAAAAAATGTAATTAATTTGTAATGATGAGAAAGAAGAAAATGAATAATGGATTTGATGTATAAATCATGTATTATAATTTTAAAAGCAAAAGAAATTAAGATGAAAATGAAAAACAACAAGACAAAAAATATGATAATTCAAGCAGAAAAGATTGTGATGAATAAATGAAGAAGCAGCTTCCTTGATCCGTTAGAACAAACAAACAGAAAAAGAGAGAGAAAAAAAAAGGGAAAACAAAAGAAAAGTGTGTATACTTTTGTTGTTGTTGTTGTTGTTTTTGGAGCGTCCGTGCATGCGCGTCGTCGTCCAGTCCAGTTTTCCGGGAAATTCTCACGGAGCGTCGTGTGGCGGTGCGCGCCGGTTCCTGCCTTTAGTACGACGCCGTCGCGACGACGATACGCAATGCGTTTCGCCTCGAATCACGACTGAATACAAAAGTGTACAACAAATTTTGTAGGAACGACCATGGAGATACGCGCAGACACTAAATTCAATCGCTCAATTGTTGTTACTGTTGTTTTCGTCGTGTTGGTGATGGTAAAGATGCTGTGGTCGTGATGGTGACAGAATAACAATAACAACAACAACATCAACAAAACAAACAAAGTATAAATAAACAAAAGAAGAAAACAAAAAGGAAATCCAAAGGAAGGAAGAAGCGACGGCCGATAGGAAATGGATTTACTTTTCAAACTTTTCTTAGGTAACCAAAACAAATTATCATATATTGAATTATAAACCAAAATAAGGTTTTTTTAAAAATTTATTATTATTACTGTTATAATGCGAAAAGTTAACAACACTAGTTTATTAATTAAACTATATATTAAAAGTATTGAAACGTAAAATAGAAGCTGTTATAGTTTTAGAAGACTTCAATTAATTTCAATTGACATTGACATAATTATTTTAATTAATGTCAAAATTTCATTTCGTCATTTGATGCGTGTGTGTGTTTTTTTTTTGGTGGTTGTCTGTATGTTGTTCATGGCCTACTCGACAAATTGCATTAGAACGTGTACGTCTGTTAATCCAATCAGAGACGGAAGGAAATAGAATGGGAAAATAACAAAAAAAAAGAATGTGTGTTTGTAATAGAAGCAGAACAAGAAACAAAACTGGTGTATCGATTGTCGTCGTATTCGCAAATAGAATTAGCAGATGTAAATGCAATGAAGAAACATTGGACATTGGGGCCAAGTGTCATGTATCATCTTCTCGTGTCTAATTGGAGATGTCACAGATGACATTTCAAGGGTTGTGGTGTGTCGAGAAGACTTCACTCACTCTCCTTTCATAATCCGATGCGTTTCACGTGAAGAATGTTGCGCGTTGAGAGGCCAAAACGATCGTAATGAAACCAGGAAGGAAGGAAGTGCTTCCACCTTCTTCGGATGGAAAGCAGGAAGGAAGGAAGGAAGGTATCGTTCGTCCGAATCTAATCGATGCGAAGATGAGGGCCGCATTTTCATCAGACACAAACACTCGGAGGAATTTAATAACCGCCGCCGTCTCTCACGTTCCACTTCCACCCCAAATTACCGGTGAATCCATCTCTCCGTCTCTCTCTCATTCACTCTTTAAAATCCTCTTTTGTCTCCTGTCAACCGACAACCTTAACCCATTTTCACTCTGACATTGACACTAATTCCACAGACTGCTTGACTTTCGATTCCTCCGCTTTTCACGAAATTCCGGTTTTCATAAATACCTTCAATACATTTTATTATTAATTATAAAAATTATATATTGACAACCTAAATTTTTCACTTGTCACTTTTCATCAATATTTATACATTGACAGATTTGACAATTAACTGACACATTTAAGAATTAACTAAAATATTTGACAATTAAACTGACAGTTTACAATTACATCGTGAGTGATGCAATTGAAAGTTTCAATGAGCGGTATGAATCATGGATAATCGCGTTTACTGAAACGCGAACCCGGCGCATCCACCGCGTCAACGAAACTAAATAAATGAAACGGAAAATCTCCAAACCATTCCAAGTCGACAAAGATATAAATTTATTTATTTTTTTTTTGGTAAATTTAACGTTTCTTTATCTTACTTATAAAATTCATTGGATTACGACGCAGCAAAAGAGTAAGAAAAAATGAGAAACAAAAGTTGTAAATAGAGAGTGAGTCTGCAGACGTCTCGATGACATTAGATTATGGGGTTTAGAGCTGCCTTCGCCCTCCCCCACTGTATGTGATGTGTATCCCGACGAGGCCAGACGTCGTTTCGGGCTTTACTTTCATCGCAAAGAGAATCGACCTAATAATCCTGCCCCCAAAAAAAGAAAAAATACCCAGAAGAAAAGAATAAACACAAATCCACCCTCGTCGGGGGCAAAAAAAAAACAGGAAAAAAGTAAATAATATTTCACATAAAGGAAGGAAGAGCAAATAATGAATGAAAAGAAAAAAGAAAGAAAGCGAAGAGAAACGTCGTCTGGCAAACAACGCCCGCTTAATTAAACGTCAAAATTGACAGCTGTCGTCAAATTGTTGTTTGAGAACGTCAAATTTGAGTTTTTTTTCAATTTAAGGATTAATTATTTGCTTATTTAATAGTCGTTTTAAATTTTGATAAAAATGAATGTTTATTTAAAGATTAGTCAGTTTTTCGAACTTTGAACTCGTATTACAGCAAAACGGATAAGAGCACAGAAATGTATCTATACTTGCTGGATTCCCCAAACATTCAGCTTTCATATGCATCTTCTGCATTCATTCTATGTATTATAGTAAATCAATGAAATGTGAAAACACTGCTTTTTCGAACGTTTTTCGAACTTTGAACGCGTATTACAGCAAAACGGATAAGAGCACAGAAATGTATCTATACTTGCTGGATTC